CAAAGCGTATTCATCGACGTTTCGCGCGATAAACCGTCCACGAATTGCCGCCAGTATCCGCGTTTCTTGGCTTTGATGAGGCTCTTGAGTTCGCGTTCAAGAGTTGAGTACGCTTCGAAATACTCGGGTGTTCCGCGTTTCCGGAAAAGCTTAAATGCGTCGGATTTTTTACGATAAACCTCAGTGCATTGCTGGTCCCACCAAGGGGTAGGAGGTTTCCTACGAAAAGACGTTCCTGGAACCGGCCGAGTTTGAGCTCGAAGCGCGCTGTCCAAGATCAGATTGGAGAGGAAGTTATATTCCTCCAACGGTGGAAGCTCTTCTACCGACGACACGGCTTCATCTATCGCGGTCTTGAACGTTGTCCAATCGATATTACGGGTGAGGTCGTACGCGACGTTAACGGATTCCGACGAATTGAACCCACTGACAATCGAAATTTTGATCGGCAAGTGATCACTACCGTGGGGATCCTGGATCACATTCCACGTGCAATCCAACGATAATGAATTAGAGCAAAGTGTGAGGTCTAATCTACTTCCATTTGAGGATGGACCAGCCAGACGTGTTACTTCTCCATTGTTAAGAATTGTCATATTGAAGTTATCACAGAGGTCATATATCAAAGTAGAACGGTTGTCATCATACAGTTCCCCCCAGCCTGTACCGTGGGAATTAAAATCTCCCATAATCAACCGTGGAGTAGGAAGAACTGAACAGATATCTGAAAGTTGTTTTTGACTAATCGAAACTCGGGGAGGAATATACACAGAAGCAATACAAAGGCTCTTGCCTTTAACAAAAGCCTGACATGCGACAACTTCAATACCTGGAAATTGTGGAAGATTCACTCTATAGAAGGAATGGCACTTTTTGATCCCCAAAAGTACTCCTCCTCCACGCGAATCCTCACGATCCAGTCGAATAATGTTAAAATCATGAAAAGGAAGATCGATATCTGAAGAGAGCCAAGTTTCACACAGAGCAAATGCATCACAATCGTTATTGTGAACCAAAAACTTAAACGATTCTATCTTAGGAATAAGACTTCGACAATTCCACTGTAGAACAGTGATCAAATCCCCGACCTCGTTTGGAAAATTATCCATCGAAGGAGATGATTGCTGCAAGGAGGGGCCACTTTAATGTCAACTGCTTCAAGAGGGTTTTCACAGTAGGAAGCATTGCCAGAACAATGCTTTTCAGAGGATCAGAAATATCGAGGTAATTGAGGATACTGTCCACAATGTTATCAAATGAGAACAACCCAGATGAAGAAGGGGCTTGTGTTCTGAAAATTGGGGCATCGGGGGTTTTGGATGTCCCCGGGAGAGGTGGAAAATCCTGGGTATAATCAGTTCTGCGGAATCCAGGAGGAGTAGAAGTCTCCTTTTTTCCACCACTCCTTGATTTGGGCAAGCTGATTTGGGGTTCTTGATCTGCAACTTTCCGCGAACGGATGCGTTTTCGTTTCCGGGCAGAACCTTCCGGAAAACTGAAAGAAACTCCCTCCTCAGCCAAGTCAGAGCCAGACTCGTCATCTGACAAAAGAGCGAAGGGATTTGTTTCGTTGGTCGATGGCTTGGCTGTCTTAAGCATTTCTGCAAAAGACCGCCTGGAACGTTCTTTAAGAGTGCGCTCAAGTTTTTCCCCGCGTTGTTTGTACACCGGACACGACGAGAGACCATGAGGAGGAGATCCTTTGCAGTACACGCATTTTGGTGCCGTGACTGTGCAGGCGCCATCCTCGTGCTTCTCCCCGCATTTGGAACAGCGTGCCTTGCTGCCACAGTGGGACGCCGTATGTCCCAACTGCTTACAGTTTTGGCAGTTCATGACCCGGGGAACGAACAAGCGCACAGGTAGTCGAAGTTTTCCTAGCTCGATATACTGAGGAAGGGCTGAACCAGAAAAGGTCACGCGAAACGAGTCTGTGGGGGTAAAACTCTTTTTACCCTCGCTGACAGATACTGAGCCCAGTTTTTGGACATCCAGTATCTTCACCGGGGGGAGCAAGGGGTTCTTGAAACGGCCAACCGCCTGCTTCTCCAAGATCTCGGGGGTCAGACTCGCTTCGGTGACCACACCTTCGATCTCCACATCACGAGCTGGTATGTAAACCCTGTACTCAATCGTAAAGAGCTGGGAGGCAGCAATCTCGTTAGCCTGCTTCAGGTTAGAAACGACAACACGAAGTTTATTATGCCTAACCTTCGTGATTTCGGTCACGGCCGAGTATCGCTTCGTCAGATCAGTGGAAATTTGCATCAAGTTCAAAGGTTTGTTTTTGGGCTGAAAGTAGACAACCCATGGCCCAGTCGAGTCATCTGGATAGGCTCGCGATCGGGGGCTTTTCTGAGACGAACCATGAATGACAGGACGTTTTCGTCTTTTCTTGCCATCGAGTGGCAAACTGGTGTCATCTTCCGACAAAATGTCCATATCGTCTTCTGACGAGACGTCCATTTTGCCGTACTAGTGGGAGCGGTAAACGCTCTACCACTGAAACGATGCTTAAAACCACACAGACACAATAAACAGAAAAAAACTACAAACACAGAAACACAAAATTAAATTTAACTGATGGGCGAGAGAAAGAAACAGAAAAAAAAACTTATCTGCTATACTACTACCACCGAGTGATTACACAGCAGCAGCGGAGCGACGCGCAGCGTGGGTGACCTTCGATGCGCGTGTGCGGGCGATCTTTGTAGTGGTGTGCTTGTATTAGGCTCGGCACTCAGCTGGACACACGATGATGGATGACCGGTATAAATGCGGAGGCAGATGCTGACACCCGATGACGATGATCTGTGTGCCGGTATGCGTGATCACGCACCGATGGTGCGCAAAATGGTTGGCGAATTGGCAATCGCAAAAACAATTTTCCTTCCGATGATGCCGAAAACACACTTTCTTCTCAGAAAAAAACTCACTTTCAGATAATTGTTTAGCCGGGTACTATGCCAGTAATCACTAAGCGAGAAAAAACTGATAATTTAAACCAACCGAATACCGAGAAAACTTCCGAAATACCGGAGCGCGAAACAAGTCGACTGTACTTCTTGCTAGGTCGCAGTGGGGTGAGTCATCATTTGGTTAATAGGCCCAAATTCGACATAGTTCCAATAATGATAATTTGTAGAAAATATATGTCTATGTCGCAAATGCCGTGATTTGTTCCATCGATCTTGTTTTCTGTGCTGAGCATTAATGCTACCGACGCCAGGGAGGCAGCTACCATACCTGGACCCTACCTATCGAACCATCAACTCATGAACCGGGGTCCAACGGCTTTACTTCCGAAGGAAGGCGTGATCAGAGATGTTATGCACAGCAGAAAATAAATTTTAATATTACATCCAAGAGGATGCACTTCAGTCATGTCGAAAATCTCATGTAATTTTCATGGTCACAACAATAAATTAATGCAGTGAAAGCAGCGTAATGTCAGTTCATGCACTGTATTAATGATAATTTTGTCCATTTTGGCAAGTAATATTACACCATATTTTTGACACGATTAATGTGCATTCACTTTGCTGTGATATTAAAAAATATTTTTTTGCTGTGTGCCTCAGCACATCCCGGCGGCTCCTACTGGGATTGAACCCAGGCCTGCCGGGGTGAGAGGTAATCACGCTTACCAATACACCACCGGCGCCGCTACAAATGCCGTGATGGTATGTAAAAGTTTAATTTTGATAAGAGTTGCATCGAATCAATTCTCAGCGAAACGATGTCGCTTATGAATGAAACCATTGCAAATTCACTACGCTCTTTTAATGTTTGGCTGTTGATGAGCATACATCGAGCTTTATAAGATGGTAAAATAAGTACAGTCCAACCTAACTTGAGTAGTGCATATTGTAAAAATTGCATTTGTACTGACTCTGTTCTTTCTTCATGTATGATTGAAAAGGGAGACCATATGTGTAAATTTCCAGCTCTTTGAAGAGAGCAAATGGATTTGAGATGCTCGGGCGCACACATGAAAAACCAGCTCTAAATTTACCATGACAGCACAGAATGGAACTGCAACTGCTCAGTAGTGAAACATGTCGAAGCAGATTTATAATATTTATGGGATGGTATAATCCATAGGCGGTGGATTCAATTCCCGGTGAACATTTTTCGGGTGGGAAATCTTCTCGAATTTCCTGTGCTTGCCATTGCCATACTTGTATATTGGTTGGCATAGCGAGCTCTCATTTAATAATTGTGGAAGTGCTTCAAGAGCACTATGTTGAGAGCAGGTTAAAGCCCGCGTAAAAGCGCCAAAGCCAGGAAGAAGAAGAAAAATGTTCATCATTTGCGATCCTTTTCCATGTATTTCAGATTATCTAGGATCTCTACCTTGTCCTGAGCATCAGATCACGAGGCTGATATATGGCTAATACAGGACTTCCAAAATTTATATTTTCCGTGTAACATCCATATATTGCAAAACGGGTAATAAGCAGGCTTGGATCAACCTGAACTTGAGCGATATTCCCGGCAACAATGAGCCAAGCTGATCATGATATACAGTGACAGTGAGTATAATGTTCTGCATGATATGCCAGCACTGCATCATCGTGGTTCCACCTTATGATTCCGTCTCGGGTTTTTTTCTTCCCTCCTTAATACATCGGGCCCAATCTGTCACGCAATCATGCGACCAATTCATTTATTTTCATTCGATCATCTTCTCGCAGATCATTGTTGTGACCGTCTTGTCTGTCGTCGTTATTCCTCAATGCGCGGTGGCACACCACTCGTATTTTCAACCCCCACTTGAGAAATGGCCGTCTTTAGTGGCATAGTGGCTCCAGCAACGACGGTAGTTTTTTCCCTGGACGTGATCCTCTTGAGTGGATCACTGGATTTAGTAGTTTTTTGTATGTGTATTTTCTACCTTCTTTGGATACACGCCGCCCGCATTCGATACGCGAGGCAAGTATTCTGTCTATGTGAGCGAGCATGTGCGGCCAGGTTGCTAAGGATTCTTTTTCGTTCAAGAACTCCGTCAACGGAGACGCGGGTCTTAGTTGGGCTCAAGAACTCGATCCGGACGGACGCGATCGTTCAATGAGAAAGGAGTAGTAGTTTAATGTGAAGCTATTTATTAGACAAGCAAGTGAAAATGGGTGATTCGATAGTAAGGAGTTCCAGAGACGATTTGAGTGCGATGAATTTCTACAAGGATTCGGTGGTTTTGATCACGGGAGGAACCGGGTTCATAGGGAAAGTGTTGATTGAAAAGATACTGCGGTGTTTCGAAGTGAAGAAGATCTATCTGCTGCTTCGTGAAAAAAGGAATGTGAAGGCCAAAGATCGCCTGAAGGAAATCTTCCAGGAACCAATTTTCAACGTGATCAGAAGCAATCATTCGAATCCAGCAAGTGTGTTTTCAAAAGTGAACGTCATTGATACGAATTTTCAAAACGATCAAATTATTAGTGCGCACGATCGGGAGCTGCTATTGTCGGAAGTTACCGTCGTTTTCAACGTGATGGCTTCGGTTAAATTTAACGAGAACATCGAGTCCGCTCTGGATACCAACGTAGTTTGTTCCCGGAAGTTGTTCGACATTGTGTGTCAGATGCTGCGCGTCCGGTCGATCGTACATGTGTCCACGTTCTACTCGAATTGTGATCGATCTAGGATAGAGGAGCAAGTCTTCGACGACATTCCGTTCGGTGGCTACAGCAACCTACTGAGTATCCTGAGCCATCTGAAGGAAAGCGAAAAAGAACAGCTGACACCGATGATTCTGGGAACGATGCCCAATAGTTATACCTTCAGCAAAAAGTGCGCTGAAGCCATGATCCAGCAACAGTACGCCCACCTGCCGATTTCCATTTTCCGACCTCCGGTGGTCACGTCGGCCTACCAGGAACCGATTCCCGGCTGGGTGGACAACTTCAACGGAATATCCGGGATGTGCCTCCCGATGATACAGGGAAAGTTCTACTGTTGCATGGCGGAACGAAAAATCCCCAGCCACACGGTACCGGTGGATTACTGTGTGGCGGCAATGTTGGCCGTTGGGGCTGAAAATGCGAGGACTGATAATGTAGCCACGGATAAACGAGTACCAGTGTACAACTATGCAACCGATGCCAATAACATCCGGTGGGGTGATTTTGGCAAATGGATCTCTCAGGGATGCGACACGCGGCTGGGGCGGTTGTTTGGGTAAGTACCGGGGTGATTGATGGCAGTTTCTTACGGTACAAATTACACCGTTTATAATGTATTATAAATACATACCAGGGCACACACTATGTTACAGGACTTCTAATCTACAATCCATGCTTTCTGCTTTATAAGATGCTCTTCATCGACTTTCTTTTTCGTTAATAATTTGTTAATAAGAGAAAGTCGACGATGGGAATCTGGCAATGTGACTTAGGAACATGAATTGAGTAATATTTTCCACCATCAAATCCGACAGTTGCGGTATGCTTGGCATACACAGTTTTGGTCACGAACTGCTCATTTGCTAATAACTTTGCACACAGTTGACGGAACATAGTTCTTTTTGAAGCAGTAGATAGAATAGAGTGTAAACTTGTTATAGATATGTAAAAAGAAGTATATTTTAATGCTAGTAGTAAACTGTATTTGTTTTTGCGTTGTAAAAATGAGGTGAGAAATGCTCACTACACATCTCGGAATTTAAGTGTTAAATTGATTAGTGTTGATTCAAATGTTAAGCTTTACCTAATCTTCGCATATATATAGTAAACTATGAGTCTAATCGATCAATTACTTTAAAGAAAAATAAATTTCTACATCTGAGTGAAAAGTTATTACCAAATGAGCAGTTGGTGTGTACAACTGCGTATGCCAAGCATGGCAGTATGGAGATTTTTGAAAAATTGTAGATTTCTCTTCAATCCTTGCTTCTAGCTGGCCCAGTGTTGCCAGATATATCGATTCCGGTTTTCAAACTTGATACCGATAAGGTTCATCAGAATAAAGAGTTTTATATATTTTTTTAATAATCAAAATAATTTTGCTTGCCCACGCTACAGTGAGAGACTTTTATATTTTTGAATATATTACATTTTTAGAGCCGTCAAAGCTCAACAAATTATGCATCTGTGAACGTTTCTTATGTGTGATATTCTTTCGACTAGTGCTTCCATTTCCTCGCCGAATGGAAAAAACGGATGGCTCATCCTGGTAATTTCTGGGAATCAGGAAATACTTTCATCCAGTGACCAAACAAAAACGTTACTTTTTAACTACCTGTAGTTATTTAATCTTTTCTTGGAAGTTTTTTCCATTTTCATGCAGAGATGAACCAGCTGAAGGCTGAAAATCTCTTTAATAAAGAAAGATATGATTACACTAGTTTACAGTATATTTGCACTTTCTACGCTGGTGGTCATTTCCCATGTAAAATCTTGTGTTTAATCCAAAAATGTAGCTAGAAAAAATCTCAGTAGGATAGTTTTCTAGATACAGCGAAAAAAAAAATCACTCAAAAAAAGTTTGTTTACTAAAATACTAATATATCTTCGGCTGTAATTAAGCTGTGTCAATTATTTTAACGCCAAATTAAAGGTAAAAAATTTGCTTTTGATCAACTGGACATCATTTTTCAGTTAGATTAGTGGTATTTAAATTTTCGCCTAAATAGTAAATACCTTGATTGCTTATATGACTGGAAATTTTACAGTCTTTCTCAGTTTTATTGGGACTCAAACGGTTTAATTTTTCATTGCTCGACGATTCGGCCCTTATTTATTTGGTCTTTTCAAACGAAAAGCAATAATATGAATGCCCACACAATTAGAAGTCATACAACAATGTACAGACAGTATCGTTAATTGCTACAGTTTAAGTCAACATCGCATATAAGAATGTCATACATCTCATTATGTTTAAGTTACATCGAATATAATGCAAATTTCCTCCTTATATGCGATGAATCATTTTTTTTTCATCGTACTGTATCACAAATTAAATTGGATTACATTGTTAGACGTTTCAAACTGAATTCGTAATTACAGATTAACTCGTATATGATGTTTAATCAACTCGTTTAGAATGAAATGAAAATTAACACGTATATGGCCTCCCTTTTTGCGCGTATAAGCCATATTTTTGAATTCTATACGATTTGTTTGTTTGTAACTCTTTCTCTTCCCTCAGTAAGAGCGAAAGAAAGACAAAATTAATCGTTCTTTTATTTAGGAAGAATGGCACTACTACTACAACTATTAGTTCTTAGGCTGAATCTAAGTGGAGACAACTCGCTTCTTACTCTTTAGTCTCTATCTATACCGCTATCTATATCTATCTCTAACTATACGTCAACATTTTCATCAATGATCTGTGTTTGCGGCTTTCCTCGTTCAAGCTCTCATTCGCTGATGACCTTAAATTCTATCGTGTCATAGCTTCTCTCTTGGACTGCTTTGCTCTGCAAGAGGATATCAACACTATGATGATATGGTGTAGCGATAACGGCATGCGAGTTAACAACAAGAAATGCAAAATTATTTCCTTCAGTCGCTGCAATAGCCCCATTCTGCATCAATACAGGATGGAAACGGCGGAATTAGAACGAGTTTCGTCCATCTGCGACCTCGGTGTTACCATCGATACGAAACTAAGGTTCAACGAACACGTGGGAATTATGACTGCCAAAGCTTTTTCTGTGCTGGGATTCATCCGTCGCCATGCGTCCGAGTTCACCGACATTTACGCGTTAAAAACTCTCTACTGTTCGTTGGTTCGTAGCATTCTGGAGTACGCTGCTCCAGTTTGGGCCCCTTACTATGTAGTTCATGTTCTTACCATTGAACGGGTACAGAAAAGGTTCGTACGTTTTGCATTGAGACAGCTTCCCTGGAACGATCCGTCTAATCTTCCTCCCTATTCTGACCGATGTAAGCTCATAGGATTGGAGCCACTATCTACCAGACGAGTTACGATGCAGCGATTATTTATTTTTGATGTCATCGGAGGATTTATTGATTGTCCTGAACTTCTCGCACAGATTCTACTAAACATTCCTCCCCGACGGTTTCGGAACTCACCTTTATTAGCAGTTCCATACCACAGAACAAACTACGGATACAACAACCCGTTCGATTCGTGCCTTCGCTCGTTCAATGTTGTTTGTGACGAATTTGATTTTAATTTGACCAAAAATGTTTTTAGAAATAGGATTAGAAGCAATCTTTAGTTTATAAGAAAATAGTTCAGTCTGTACGACTAGTCGAAGACGGTGATATATATAAAATAAAATAAAAATATCTATCTCTATCTATATCTATCTATATCTATCTCTATCTATATCTATCTCTATCTATATCTATCTCTATCCATATCTATCTCTATCTATATATATCTCTATCTATATCTATCTCTATTTCTATCTTACGCACTTCAAATCGGCCAATTACACGCTGGTTCGCGTTTGACAGAAAAGTGGTTCGTTTTCGCCCCCGTATTGTCTACTCTTCTCTTAGGGCTGAATGACACTACTAATAAGAGTGAGTTGAATCGACCATTTTAGATGATGGAGCTTTGAACCAACCGCAATTTGCTATTGGCGCTGCTGCATCTGTACGATGTAATATACTGTGGTAGTTCACAGTACGGTTCTGTTTCAGCCTCCGTATTTTCATTGATCCATTCATATGGTTCCGGTCATGGTCCCAATCGATCACATCCCCCGGGGCACCCAGAACCTGCTCACCGGAGTAACCATGTAACCGGAGCAAGCTGTGGACCTGATCGATCTTCCATTGCCATCGGCAAGCGAAATCATGATCATGAAGCTTTAGTGTTATAGTTTACCTATTAGTTAGAGACAGTTCTAAAGAAGGTAGGTTGAGAGTTTTGCTAGAGTACGGCGGTGTGACAAAATTGAATAGAAGTTGAAAATGAGTGAAAGGCCATTAATGTGACAGTACTAGTCAATCTGCTTCATTTTGAAAATAGTCATGAATTTCTGATAGGTCACCCTCCAGTTCGTATCATTGCCCCAAAATATAAACCTATGCAAAAATTTGTAAAGATTGACGTAGGTTTAGAGGTCGTGGAAGAATTAAAAAAAAATATAACTTATATCGATCTAACTTTGCTTTTACATGTTCACATGTTGAAAAATAATAATACGTTGTTTCTAAGACGATGACCAAAGTCATTTGTTGTTACGATCAGTTTTACAGTAGGGTAAATTATGGCTTCCGCACCCATTGACTATTTTCGGCAACCGTAATTGAAACGTTAATTTCACTGTATTTTCCCATCAAAACTCTTCGCTGAATGTATTAAGCCGATTCCTTACCTTTTCAGCTTCAATCTGATTACATTTTTACGACTGTGCAATCCTGTTATGCCATATGTTTCTTTAAATTAAATATACACACTACAAAATACGGCTGATTTCGAGTTGCCGATAATAGAACAGCTGGTTAACACGCAGTTCAAATGGAAAGGGTGCTGAAGAAAAAGAGACTGCCGACAATAGTCACACTCACCTGAGAAGTTTGGAGCGTTGTAAAAACATGTTCAACCCGTTTTGATCAATTCTGCCGATTCTAATTGGTAGAACAGCAAGCAGCAGATAAATGTCAACAAACAAACCTGTCATGTATTTGTGTGACGCTGATGAATCGCTAATAGAAGTTCGGACGCTGCTTAGATTGACGAGAATACGTAAATTCCCCTATATCAAGAAAGGTAAATGCGAAAAAATTAAGAAATAGCGAAACTTGACTGGTGAATATGTGTAAGCGTGATTGCCTCTCACCCCAAAAGGCCTGGGCTCAATCCCTGTCGGCGCCGCTTGGTCCTCGGTTCATGGGTCGACGGGTCGATTCGGTCGGGTCAAGGCGAAAAAAAAAATCAAGAAAACAAAACACACTGCACTGGTCTGGTCATTCCCGACAATCATGACACTCATCTGTGCTCGTTTTCAAGCAGTTGCTGCTTCGCTTGTTTATGTGAGTGTGTTAGTGCGTGAGCTCCAGGGATAACAAATGTTTTTAGAATGTCTTCAGTACGATTGACAAATATGTTCAAATGTCTTCACCGTCACTTTTTAACCAACCATTTTGAAAATTTCACAAGATCCTGAATCTTGCCTAAGGTGCTATCCATAAACTACGTAAACAGCTTACGGGGAACTATTTTTTGCATTTACGATTACCTACGCAGTGTTAGAGTTC